CGCCGCCCGGCGCAGCCCCGGGGCAGCCAGGCGCCTGCTGTGTGCCCTGGCTCTGACCCGGAACTCTAGAAGCTGGGTCTGCCCCGTGGCAGGGGTGAGGGCGGGCTTAGGTAGAGGTGAGGGGATGGTTGTGTGCAGGGTTTGAGGGACGCTGGGACTGTTGGGTGGGGGCAAAAAAAATAAAAAAAATAAAAATGAAACCGATTCACCCTGGCTGTATGGGACGGTTGGCATAGGGCTGATCCTGCCTCAGATGAGGTTGTGCTAGACAACCTGTGGTGGTCACTTCCAGCCTGAGGTCTGTGACTTGGGGTATTTTTTTATAAGGTATCATCTCTGATCCAAGAGTTTCAAGAGCGTTGCAAGCCTACATTTTGCCCACTTGGACCATTCCGGAGCTGGTCTGGTGTTGCCGAGAGCTGGGAAAGACCCTTTCCCCTGAGCTGGGTAGCATGGTTTGGACCCGCTGGATCCCTAGTGGAAATCTCTGGGTTTGCCTTGCAAATCATGTTTGGGTGCCCAATGGCACTATGACTGTGCGGCAGTCTTGTAAGGATCTCAAGGTGGCCCAGGCAACAGCGGAACGGCTCTTCCTCCATGGCCAGGAAAACCTGTTGTATAGTGGGGTTTGGATAGGGGTCCTACTTCTGTGATTCTAAGTGAGCACCAGGAGCTGGCAGTGCCTGAGGGCTGCCTTGGAGCTCTCTAAGAAGGTTGAGAGCCGGTGCTACGAGCCGACGGGCTGCGATGCTCCCTGACACCAGTTTTTGAGACTTGCTCGGCTATAGTGAGCAGCTGCCGCAGGGCAAATGCAGGCAGGAGAGCCCTATGCAAGCATGATTTACACAAGTGCATTTTGACTCGACTCTTTTTTCCACATCCCAGTTACCTTGCACCAGAATGAAGGTGTTTTCTGGTGTTGCAGGGGTTTACCTTATCTGTCTCTGCATGTTCAAGCCCTAGGTCTTGCTGTGCAACCTTGTCACTTCTTCCCAGGCAAGAGTTAATGTACGTAGGGCGGTGTTAAACCAAGGCATGGTCTTTGTCCTCTCTTCTATCCCTTATTTAAAAAGCCTTGCCTAAGTGAATTAACTTTTTGTACTACTTTTTGTGCATACATTTTGTGGGAGTTAATTTTCTTGGGACATGTCTCTTAGTCCTTATCTTTTGTGTTACTAATGGCAAAGCTTTGCGCGTTAATTTTTGGATCATCTTGGTCTGAGAAGGATCAGGTGAGGGAGGAGAGACGGTGTGAGGGATTTGCTAACTGTTTGTATATGGTATAAGCTGTTTCACCCAGGGCCATAGTGTATATTTCTTGTCATGTAATGATTTCTCTTGACATTTGTCACACAAGTAGAAGTGCTTCCAAAACTTGTTGGGTTAGCTGGAGCAAATCTGGAAGGAGGAGTGTGAACGCTACTGAGTGTGGTGTCTTGTAGGCAGATTAGCTTCTTCCTTCTATCTTTTTCTAGGAAAGGTCCTGCCATTCCTGTTGTCTGTGGCCCCTGATGGAGAGAAGGAGATGGGCTAGGGTCCATATGGTATAGCAACTTGTGGAACAAGAGTGATGTTGCATCCCCAGGGCGGTCCCTTGGGGGACGAATCGGGATGACTGCCCTGGGCCCCGTGCTTTGGGAAGCTCTGCTGTCAGTGTCATAGGCCCCGTCACGCACCGCTGCTGCTGAACACTACCAGCTCCGGCCACTTACCACCCCCCACATTCCTGGCTCTGCTGGCTCCAAACACTCGCTGCCACCCCCCCACTCGCTTTGCCAGTTCTGGCAGCTCACCACCTCTTCCCCACCCTGGGCCCTGCACAGTCTGATATGTCCCGGGCCCTGCATACCCCTAAGGATGATTCTGTGCATCCCTTTGATGCTATAATGGGCCTTCTGTCAGGCAAGGAGACATACCAGTACTGTGCTGGGCCAAGAAGCCTCTGGATCCTGACAGCGAAGTAAATGACACTTCAAGCTAGGCTTTATAGCCCTGTCTCTGAAGTGATATTAAGAATCCACTCAAAGAGAATATCTTACAATTCAGGAATAAACTTGTATAACCCTTGGACTTGTCACTGGGTATATGACAATTTTTAAACATGTTTGGAGTAAATCCTGCTTGCCTGTTTCTCTTGAATCTTCTTGTTGAAGCCAATGGAACTAGTCATATGGGAGATAAATGTAGGCTCTGAGTTGGATAAAAGTAGACCCAGTCCAACTCAGGACCTACTTTAATTACTATATACCTCTTAAATAGTTGTTTTTATTGCAAAACGCAACTAGACCAAACTGGGAAGGAATTTGGCACATTCTGGCTGTAGTAAATTAAATGCATGGCTGAAAGTTAGCCATTTTATTGACTTTTGGGGGATGCAGGTAGAGAGGTGTGAATAGTTAAAATACTTAAGCTTAATAAGGAACGTAACTAAATGATTGTAGGGTATTGTAAAGAATTTTTAATTGAAGATGCGAACAATTTGTCTTTTGCTACAATGGAAAGTTCATGTAACTTTCCATTGTAGGAAAAGAAAATACTACCAGTCCCAATCTTGCAAATGCATATGCCTGTTTCACTTCAGGCACCAGGGACTACTTTCTTTTTATTCCTGTCAGTCATTTCAGCAGCAGCAGCATTGGGGCTGAATGAAATCTTGCCACAGTCACTTGCCATTGATTTCAAAGGTCTAGTATTTGCCAAGTGTTAAACCATGACTCAGCTTGTATCTGTGGTGCCTAGGATTATAAGGTGATCATTCATCCACGTGTTAGCCAGACCCAGGACTTTTTATCTTCCAAGGTTAAATGAGAGCAGGTACATTCACTGCAGCAGGACCATGTAATGAGGCTACTTGCATGTATGTTAATAAGTGTTCATGCTTTTGGGGCCAAAGAAAAGTCACTGGTGAACTTAAAATTAAGTGTGTGAATATGCAAAGAGAATTAAAATTCTGGATGCTTCTGTTTGTCCCAAAGCCTTTTGTAGAACCACGCTTAATAGCCTGAAGAATTCATGAAGTGTAGGACATGTTAAGTTTTTTGGGGTTTGTTCTGCTTTTGAGAGAGCTTTGGGCTTCGTACCCATATACAAGTGGTAGTATTTATTGTTGTGGTGGTGGTTGTTGCACTTCAGATCCTGAAATGCCATCAGACTCCACTATGCTGGATAGCCCTATACATTTATAGTAAGAGGTATCTGCCCTTAACAGCATACAGTCAAAATAGGCATGGGGGAGGGTGGAAGGGGAAAGAGAGGGGAGGGGGAAAGTTACCATGGGAAAGGAATGTAATGGAAGCAGAATAAACAGTGGGGACTTGTACTGTTGGTTCCATCTTTTTTTTTTTTCCCCCTACTGGCCTTTTAATGATAGCAAGTGGTTGAGGGGAAATGTGGTTTAAATAGAAAAAGGAAAGGAACAAGTGATGTATAGGGTTAAATAGGCACAGTAGGGTGCATGGAATGAGACGGCAGGGGTGGCAGTGGGAAGGGGTTAGAGTAAACCCCCCCAGGGAGAGACCGTAGGGTAAAAAAATGTAGAAAACCATTGGATGTTTGTAGTAACATCAGCAACTGCATGTTCCTGTTACAATTGCTTGTCTACTCCTACTAGCTTGTATTTCCAAATAAAACAAATACTATAATTTCTTATATACAACACACACCTTCTC